TTTTTTTTTTTTGCCCTGGTGAGGGCAGAGAGAGATGCAACAATAATATCAATATCAAAGGATACCGAGACAAGCTGTTAAGAGGTGACTTCAGTCTCCCCGATTCTGTACTGACAGAAGTGTAGCCAAATTGCTGCAACTTTAACCCTTACCCTGATTAATTCAGGGTCAAAGTAAGAACGACATAGCAAACTTGTACTGCTGCAGGCTCGTGCAAATATATCAGTTATAGCACAACAGATAAGACCCACTCCCAGGAAGTGTTTAACTTGTATATTCAAGCATAACCTGAGCCTTTATGTGGAGATAAATCCTTCTCCATAATCAAGAGCCAGCTTCATGCTGTATTGTAATACAACTTTCACAAGATGCACTTCCCCTGTTCTTTCATTAATAATGTTCTCTTATTTCTGCTCTCTTCATACAAAATATGATGGACAATGTGAGGCTGGAGAAAGAACGTCAACCTTGGTGGGGGGCGGGGTTGGAAACAGCACCAACACATGCACCTTCGCACTGCAAGAACTTTAATAGTACACAAACAATTTACCATCAACTAATGCCGCCCCAGTGTTTCTAAAAGCATTAGGTACAAAGCATGAGAGGTGACAGTACCTCTCTACTTGGCTGTGGTTAGGCCTGATCTAAAGTACTGTGTGCAGTTTTGGGATCCATATTTAAGAAGGATATGACGTTAGAGACAGCCCAGAGTTGGGGGACAAAAAATGATAAAGGGCTTGGAAGGCAAACTATACAAGGAGAGGTTAAAGGAAACAGGCATGTTCAGTTTGTAGAAAAGGCACTTAAGAAGGGACATGATAGCAGTCTTCAAATGCCTAAAGGACAACTATAAAGATGAGGGAAAACACCATTTTTCCTTTTACTGCAAAGGGGAAGACAGACTAATGGCTTGAACTTGCAGTAAAGTAGGTTTAGGTTAGATAGCAGGAAAAACATCACTGTTAGAGCAGTGAGGCAGGGGAGCAAACAGCCTACGGAAGTGGTGGAATCTCCTTCATTGGAGGTTGTCAAGAAGGTTGGACAGGCATTGGTCCAGGATGGTTTAGGAGTAGCTATACTTATGCTCTACTATGAGTATTTGCCATGCTTTTGGCCTTTGCTGGCTGTCAGATGGGGCCAGGAGGGATTCATTTTTCCTTCCTGCTGCTATGAGTCAGATTGTATTTTTTCTTTTAAAGCCTTCCTCAGAAGCACTATGCATTTGCTGCAGCCAAGGCTGGGGATTGTGACTGGGCTGTCCCAATTCTCCTGCTGGGACATAAACCTAGAGGGACCTGGCTAGAAGGTCTTGCCCCTGTGCTCAGGGTCAGACTGATCATCCTATATTGAGTCCAGAAGAAGTTTTACCCCCTGGTCAGAATGGTAGGGACTGAGTGGCATTTTTTCTTCCCTTGTAGTTTGGGGGGGGGGGGGGGGGGGGGGGG